AGGAATGCCCTACCTCAGCATGGCATGTATTTTCGCCTACATCCTTAGTTTTGGTTTGGGCCCCGCAGGGGTGACTGGGATCCTACCAGCTGAGATCTTCGACCAGGCAGCTCGACCGGCAGCGTACATGGTCGCTGGCTCGCTTATGTGGATCAGCTTATTCTTGTTGGGCATGTTGTTCCCCTTTATTGTCAACGGCTTGGGGAACTTCTGCTTCATCCCTTTCTTGGCTGTGTGTGTGGCATCCGCTGTGTTCCTGGGGCTCACTTTACCAGAGACTAAGGGCAAGACACAGGCTGAAATTAATGCAGTGTTTGAGAGAAAAAATGGAAGGAAGAGACAGAAACAAGTGGATCAGCCCATTAAGGATCACTACCAGTTGGGCGCATCCTACTCCTTGTCTAGCCTAGTGCAAGAGCCTCACCCTGACCAGAAGAATGGGGATGGAAACCTGCTCTAGTAAAAGTGGAGACGAAACGGGTTCTGCCTTTGTGGTCACTTTCACAGTTGTGTAGATTACTCCAGAGTTGATCTGTGAATGATGATCTCTGCATAATGGCCAATAATTTGATTATGGTTTCATAAGCAAAATCATTTAATGCTTTGTATCTGTTTAACTGGGAGTAAAATAGAATGTCCTGGCCAAGCAGATGTGCTGTGCTTAACTCACTGCTCAAACAAGAGAGAATTGACTTGCGTTTAAAAGAACACAAGAGGCTCTTCTATAGTCTTTGCTGTTACAATAAATCTATACAGTATTGTTAGACAAAAGGCATCCTAACAGTTGATCAATGCTTTTAAAAGCAACGAAGGCTCTTTTCTCTATAAGAAATCTTGCGTGTAGTATAAGAGCATAAATGTAAGCTGAATATAAAATTGCCTTGACAATAACAGAGGTGTTTGCAGTAGAGTGGGTAATTATTCCAGTTGCATGTATTAAAAGGTTGCCCACCTTAATGGGACACTTACTCTGGGTAGATAACAATGCTTATGTAATCTCATTATCATGTATCAGGTTGAGTGATCCCTGCTTGTCTATTTTTCTAGTCTGATCCGACTCTTTAAACACCTCAGAGCCATGTTCCACTTGTTCAATTTCAACACACCCAAAGTGTCTCTAACTTGTTTTTATCTCTTTAAACACCTCAGAGCCATGTTCCACTTGTTTAATTTCAACACGCCCAAAGTGTCTAACTTGTTTTTATCTTTTGTGCATCTCTGTCAGAACAGTTTTATTTAAGTGAATGCCAAAAACCTCGAGCTGTCTTTTCTAGCAGCTCTACCAACAGTTCGATTCACTGCAGCTCCTTACTACTTTGCTTTCATGCAGTGAATGCAGCTCTGCAAAATGTCCAGTAGGTGTTGGTACTGTCATTGTTTGCATGCTCAAGTATAAAAGCTGTACATGACAAAATGAAACACGGGTACTGTATAACAAGGCACCGATGGCTTGAATTCAACAGCTGTCAGCTCGCAGCCTTTCTAAGCTTTATGATCTGTTACATCTGTATGTTTCAGTTGTCAGCTTATGTCACTTGAATTATTTTAGAAAAGCAGATTTTTTTATTTTATTTTACATTTAAAGGATTAGCTAAGGATTTTTCAAGTTGGTGGTAAAATGGTATTGATATATCCCTGTGTTCGTGAGAATAGATCTTGGTCATTGTCACTTCTCCTTCTCTCCACCCTGACTCTGAATCTTTCCAGCCAGAGCACATCTATGCTACTGCTGCAAAAAAAGAATGAGGGACATATTGCACAACTCTCTGCTGCAGATCAGCAAGGTACTGTCCAGGATAATAAGAGAGGGCAATTTGGTTTAAATAGGCTCACTTGAATTAGCTCAGTGGGAAGTTGCATTTGAGCCTCCAATGAACTTTGGAGTGCATGTTTTTAATTCAGCTCAAATAAAAAAAATTTTATAATGCCAAATTACAACAAGAGTCATCTCAATACACTTTACAAAGTAAGGTCTAGACTTTACTATTATTATAGAGGAAAACCCAACAAATCCCCCTTGAGCAGCACTTGGTGACAGTGGGGAGGAAAAACTCCCTTTAACGGAAGAAACCTCTGACAGACCTCAGCTCTTGGTGGGCGGCCTACAGAAAAAGAGCTGTGTAGTTTGTCCTGCATTGTGACATTCTGGGTGGAAACATTCAAGGTCAGTGTGGAGAGTAGGAGAAGTGGCAACCACCAAGAACTATTCCTTTTAAGATACTTTTTTTTTTCTGAAGATAAGGGAAAATATTACTAGTAATCCAAAGCACTGTTAATTTAACTTTTCATGCTGGATATCAGGTAAAAAAAAAACAAACTGTTGTAGCATGTCGGGGGCGGGGGGGATGTCACTACTGTTACATTGTGGTACTGTTTGTCCAAAGCACGTTATGACAATCCTTTATTATATTATGGTAAGGATTACACTGTATAATGGATTTTGTAGTTACTCAATACTCTACTGGTGGCAAAACTACTACTGTATGTACAACAATAAAAGTCAACTCACTGACCCACACCGTCGTCTTCTGCATTATTCAGTTAGTTTGATTCTGCCTGTCTGGTCCAACTGCTTTCTTAATTACATTTAATCACATCACTTTGGCTCACTTCACTCCTCTGCACTTTTATCCAACTGCTCCTACGCGCTCGTATTAGAACTGATAGCGTAATGCTGTTTATTTATGGAAACAAGCTGTGTGAGAACATCTCACACTAAAGTGGGAAATGGTTCAAGTGAGCTGTTTCACTGGACTTTGTTGCATAACTGAAGAGTCTCGTGGCTGTTAACACTGCAAATAGACATCAGAAAAAGGATTAATATTTGTGTGTCCAGACAATAGGTTTTATGTGAGAGAGAAACACTAAAACTCTTAACGCTAAAACTATTTTGGCTTTTGTTTTTCCTCCAAATACAACAGGAAACTAAACATATCTGCTCTTGCCGGGGATCAGCTTCTTTTCCAAAACCCACTGGCCTTTACTAATAAAATCAAACTAAGCTGCTAAATATAGCATTCCTGTTAAAGTAGCAGAAAGATTTAGAGATAAAGAAGACAAAAGAGATTCTCTACTAGTAAAACCAGTGTGTGTTACGCTTCAGAGATACAGTAAGTCTCCTCTCAGATACAGACCAAACAAACACGGGGACAATTTTTAAACATATTTATTAGCACAAGTTAAATTTTGATGAGCATTCAATACAGGCCGATCTGTACTGCCTGTTATTAATAGATAGCATGGAGAAACTGGATATTTATTACCATTTCACCTTTTGTCTGGTGAAGGGAGAAACAGGGAGACACTTGTTGGCATCGTATGTATTAAAAACTAGGCATGGTTTGTTGCCCAACTCGTACATTACAGATGTTCTATTTGAAAAACTATTTCCATTTTAATTGTTATTAAGAGTCCTGAGATTTACTGCCACATGATTATTTCCTTTCCAGCATGGGGGGAAAAACACAAAACCATTTTTACATTGGACAAGAAACCCCCACTCTGTCTAATCAACCAGCCAGTACAAAAGCCAGCTGATTGCCGGGTAGTCGCTGATGAAATCATCTCGTCGTTTTCCAGCATTTGATCTCATTCCCCTGGTTTGGACCTGTTTTCTTCTGTGGACTCTGATCCTCTTTTCCCTTGTTGTTGTTTGTTGCCAGTGGACTGCTGTTCAGTAACCTGCCCCTAGTTTTTCCTGTCTTCCTGAATCTTGTATGGACTTTAGTTGCTTCCTGGTGCTGATTATTGGTTTGCCCTTGTCTGTACTGTTTACCTGACCTGGCTGTTTTCATATTGACCACTTCTGTTCCTGTGACCATGATTCTTTCTTGTGCTGCTTATTTGCATTGTTTTCCAAGCCAGCCTACTGTTAGTATTGTTTGGTGTTCTCAAGCAGACAGAGCTGTTATTATCATGTACTCTTGAATCAGTCGCTTTAGGTGGGGTGGGGGTGGATGATTAGGGACAAAAAACAAAGAACAAAAAAACCTATATCCAAAAAGCCAGAACCAGCTTTGACATGTCTCTTTCAAGAAAGGCTAAGAACTGACAAACTAAAAACAAGAAATGCAAATGCAGTCACAGTGAAGCTTGTTTATGCAAATACATTTCACTCTGTCGCTCTGTTAGTTTTTGAAAGGATAATTCTAGGTAGTCGTTATTTGAAGGTGTGATAAGAGACAAAACTGCCGCCCTGACAATCATATTTCTATGCCAGCAATCGGAGCATTGCAGCATAAAATGATGATTTCATCAAGTGATACTTTTTAGAGGTGGCTAGTTTACTTTCCACTTATTGGACTACAATTCAAAATCAAATTGCATCTGACTGGCTGGTATATTATTATTATTGTATGTATATTTGCTAAGATAACTGGGATGGGGGTCAATATAATTTTATGTGCTTAGAGCCTTTTTAGTTTGTTTGGTGGAAAATGAAAACACCGGTACTTTTTAAAAAATTCACCAGTATTCTGCTATGCAGAAAGGATGTGGAGATTTCACCACATTTCTTCACTGTTCAGTGACATTCATTAACCTTGTCCTGATTAATCTTTTTACTTGCTGCAGGGGAGAGCAGCTGGGGGCTGTGCTGTGGCTGCAGCTAAAGCAAGAACAATATGCTAATTCAGTTTCAGGATTCAGGAAATATGTGTGTGTGTGTGTGTGTGTGTGTGTGTGTGTGTGTGTGTGTATGCTCACTTTTTTGAGAATGTGTGTTTAGCTAATAGACCAACTTTCATATGTGAGCTTCTCTGTATCCTGTTTTAGTGTACAGTTTAGACTAACGACTACAATGTTTTAGTCCAGCTTCCCTTAGATACCAAGTCATACATTCTTTTTGTTAGAAACATTTAATACTTATATCATTAATAAAATCATCACAATTTAAGAAGAATGCTTGGACATAACGAGATGGGGAAACCACTACACTACTTAAAAGCAGCAATGTGGGGGTGCGTGTGCATGAGAAAGAGATATTTCTATTAGCAGCTCTCTACTCATTCCACTGATCTGTGCAGCGCACACACACAGCAGTGATGTCAGCAGGCATCACTCAGGTACTTCAGTGAAAGTGTAATCTTATTTAACCAGAGCATTAATTTCCCAGCTGCCTTTCTGACCTCGGATAAGAACAACAGAAAAACTAGAAAAATAGAGGAAATGAAGATTAAGAAGGAACAAACATAAAAATGACTGCCCTTTTCCAAATGTTACTTGTAGCTGGATAGTTTGGAGCGCCATCAGGTGAATCATCGCTTAGTCACTCCCACAGCATGACTGATACCCAGAGCAGGCCCAGGGCATTTCGGTAGGTATGACTGATGCTGTGCAGACAGGGAGAGGGTAGACAGCAGGCATGCGGCTCCCAGGGCAGACCCCTGCAGGTCTTTCCAGGTCTCATGACAGGTTGATAGAGAAAAATCACCTCAATTCCCCCTCATCACCGCTCACTGAAAGAGAATGCATTTAGCAGAGCATGAGAGCCATTGTGAGCATAACAAAGCACCTGGCAAGTACTCTAACAACAGATTTTCATCCAAATTGGCCGTAGATGTCATTATGTCAAGAAAATGCAGAGTTGCCCTGTCTCAGCAGAGTGACATAAGATATCTGCCGGTGGGCCCAATGTGTTTGCCTCTGGGCTTTGGCATTATAAAGCTGGCAAGGTGTAATTGCATTTATACATTCTGTCAAAGCTTTCATTCGTAGCTCACTGAAAATGGAACTGTATCAGTATATGGCATCAAAGAGTAAAATATAATCATAAAATAGTGTAAACAATGTAACAACACTTATGTATTAAGAGCCAAAAACAAAACAAACTGAACAGTTCAGACAAGAAAGTAAGTAATCTAAGATGGTAAGGATAATCATGTATCTCTGTCTGTTCATTAAACCACAATATTTAATCATAGCTTAACAACAATAGGTGCAGCTGGCATGTCAAGTTGGGAGGTATTCCTGTTTTCTGCACTCGACATATAAAGAATTTAAAAGGGTGGTGACCTTTCTTAGCTTTTCCGAAACAAAAACCTTAAAGAGAAAAGTTGTAAGGAATGCCCTAAGCGATATCTACATCCATGGACAGATTAGGAGAAAACGGGCCCCTGGGCACAGACATCAGGCCTCCAGTAGAATGACATTTTT